AGCTTGGCCTGGTGTCGGAGGCTCCTAGCTTGGCCTGGTGTCGGAGGCTCCTAGCCTGGCCTGGTGTTGGAGGCTCCTAGCTTGGCCTGGTGGTGGAGGCTAATGCCTAGCCTGGTGGTGGTGGTTGGCCTGGCCTGGTGGTGGAGGCTGGGTCCTGGCCTGGTGGTGGTGGCTGGGTTCTGGCCTGGTGGTGGTGGCTGGCCTGGCGTTGGAGGCTGGGGCTTGGTCTGGTAGGCTGGCTTGGTGTGGAGGCTGGGGGCCTAGTCTGTTAGTGGTGGTTGGTCTGGCCTGTTGTCGGAGGCTCCTAGCTTGGTTTGGTGGTGGAGGCTAATGCCTAGCCTGGTGGTGGTGGTTGGCCTGGCCTGGTGTCGGAGGCTCCTGGCTTGGTTTGGTGGAGGCTAATGCCTAGCCTGGTGGTGGTGGTTGGCCTGGCCTGGTGTCGGAGGCTCCTGGCTTGGCCTGGTGGTGGAGGCTCCTGGCTTGGCCTGGTGGTGGTGGTTGGCCCGGCCTGGTGTCGGAGGCTCCTGGCTTGGCCTGGTGGTGGAGGCTAATGCCTAGCCTGGTGTCGGAGGCTCCTGGCCTGGCCTGGTGGTGGAGGCTAATGCCTAGCCTGTTGTTGGCCAAGTTGTCCTGTAGATTGTCTGTCTCTGCTGCTGCTCAGTGCTGCTGCTCAGTGCTGCTGCTCAGTGCTGCTGCTCAGTGCTAGTAAATCATTTGAAAACTGGCCTTTACTATTAAACTTACCAAGACGTTTGTGTCAACCTTTTCCTTTATGGTAAATGGGCAAAAAGTAAGCCAGCAATGTAGCAACACTGTGGCAATTTCAGTTTGTCACAATCCATGTTGGGTCAGATGGAAAGAAAAAGGTCTACTTCCTGTCCCACATGCAAAACCTGATACATAATGTAAGGGGAAACAATACTGCCCCATGCCTTAACCACTCTATCCCCATAGTGGTGGCAAGTCAATATGAGGACATTTGGATTTAAAAACAGAAAGATAAAGGAGAATAAACATGGTGACAAAAAATATTGTTGGACGCAAAACA